TTTTGGTTTTTGAGGCAAAATGGTAGGGAGGGAAGGGTCAGTGAAATGAGATATTCAGAATTCAAAAGCCTTTATTCAGAATTCAAAAATATGGGCTCAAAATTCTAAAGCCCCAAAGCATCAAAACAAATTATATATATACACGTATGTGTATAGATATATATAATATATAACATATACACACATATATATACAAACCTGTTTATACATTCAACCCATAAAACAAGAATTACCTGCTGAATTCCTTTTTTCCTTAGTCCTTAAATATGTCTAAAACACCAAGAAATCTATATATTTATCTTAGTGCTGTGGAACTGAATCCTTGTAACAAACACAGTAATATGCAGGGGATAGTCACACTCATCCAATGGATGAAGGATCAGTATAGGGAATTTAAGTAACCTATTAAGTCTCTAACAAGTCCAGGCCTCTCAGCCTCTGAGCTCGGCTGTCTTCCTAGCGACTTCTCACTTTTATTAATATCACTCATGATTTTTACAAGCCTCAATCATATTTGATTCCTCCTCTTTCAAGATCAAGAAATCTTTTTAGTCCCTCTTCATATGCCTGCTCCATGCAATTATTTTCATTTTCTGGTTCCATTATGCCTTTTTACAGAGAAGCAGTCTGATACAAATGCATCATAATTTTGTTAAAAATGAAAAACTGTTTCCTATTACATTTCCAGTACTCAACCAGATAACATCCTAGAGCAGCAGCAGTTAAGTCTGCCGTAATTCCCAGGTTTTTCACCCCAGTTGGAACCAAATTAGAACCTACAAATTCAAATTGATTAAAAAAAAAAAAAAGAGTTACTAAAGGATCCAATGAAGAGGAGAAAAATATTTCAAAAACAATCAGCAAGTGCAGGTAACCAAGAAATGGGAATGACAGGATTGAGTAGACGAGTAGAAAACTATTATTCAAATACTGGGTTCAAACAACAGTAACAAACTTTCTCAGAAACGACAGCAATGGACCCAGTAATTTAACAAACCACACCCTCTTAAAAAACACACTTCAGACGATAATATGAACTGCCACGGCACTATCAGTAATCCTGGACAGAAGGCATAATTATATTGTTTAACTGGCAACCAGGAACACATCCTATTAGAACTCGCTAGCATCAGGGAAAAGGCCTAAAAACTATTCCACCAAAATTTGAAGCTTTCTCTTTAATTTCCTTTCACGTAATATATGTCAGCCACACTTTTCATTAAGAGCCCAGGTTAGTTTAAATTAATCTCCCGAGGGACAGGCTAATTCAGGGGTCACCATTATTAAAATCTGTTTGAGCCACTGGGTGCAGGTGTTCGCCTTATTAACAGGGGAGTTCACTCTTAACCCATCTGTTAACAGATATGACAGAGGCTTTGTGAGCTACCAGATTTGTTTAAGGGCAAAGTGTACATTGGGGAAATATGTAAAGTAACACTGTGGGCTGAAAATAACTTCTCCCTATTTACAACCAGTAGGTGACCCCTCCATCCCTCACAGCAAGCCATAATCACAAGTGGAGTAACAACTTAGTGAAAGTGTCACAGTGCTCTATGTATCAGGAATTCCTACTGCATGGTAACCATCCAATACAAAAACCAACCGCGCAGGCAGTCAGTAAGCTGCAGACAGTATTCCTTCTAGCTCTAAACTCAACACATGTGGCACAGATCTGTTAAAGGTAATACTTCCACTTTGCTCAAACAACTAAAAGGCCAGTCATGCTCCAGAAACTCACAAAAAAAAATACTCTTTAAAAGACTAAGAATACAGTGATCTGTGATTTTCCGTAAGACGAATGTTAGAAATTTTGCTTTAAATTTATATCAGATTTTTATACAATATTTACTGAATTCATACAAAAATTTAACATAAACAATTTATAACACAATTGAGGAAGTTTGGCCACAAATCCAAATGAGCACCACCTCAATCTTTCTCGCCCTGTGGCACTGGGGAATGAACCCAGTGCCACATGCATGCCAGGCAAGAGCTACCACTGAACTAGCCCAAAGTTCAAAACTGTTTGTCAGAGACAGTCTCTCTCTAGAGGTTCCAGGGTGGCCTCAAACCCCAGGACTCAAGTGATTTTCTACCTCAGCTTCTTGAGGAACTAGGATTCGTTAGAACTGATGTTCTTTTAGTGTTGTTGTATTTTTGTTCAGTCTTTTTGTTTTTGTGAGGTGATTTTTTGTGTCTTTGTTTTTCTGACAGGGCCCATATATAGCCCACATCAGCCTCAAATTCACAATCATCACTCCTCAGCCTCAGGGTAGGCCTGCAACCACCAAACCTACTTAGATATCACTTTTGTTGTTGTTGCTGTTGTTGGTTGTGGGATTTGAACTCAGGGCCTAGGCACTATCCATCCCTGAGCTTTTCTGCTCAAGGCTAGCACTCTACTACTTCTGGTTTTCTGGTGGTTAATTGGAGATAAAAGTCTCATAGACTTTCCTGCCCTGGCTGGGCTCTAACTGTGATCCTCAGATCTCAGCCTCCTAAGTAGCTAGGATTATAAATGTGAGCCACCAGCACCTGACAGACTTCACTTCAAGGTAACTTTTCCAGCTTTTTTCCAGAAGAAAAAAAAAATCTGAAATAATCAAACACTAGTTCAAATAAATACATCATCCCCAAACCAAACCCCGAGAGATTTATCACAGGGAATGAAATTCTAAGTTTAAGCTGTTCAACTGAGCTGGGCACTTGTGGCTCTCCCCTGTAATGCTGCTACTCAGGAAGCTGAGATCTGAGAATTGAGGATCAAAGTCAGTCAGGGCAGGAAAATCTGTGAGACTCTTTATCTCCAATTAACCACCAGAAAACCAGAAGTGGAGCTGTCGCAAAAGAGCTCAAGACCCACAATCTACAGGAAAAAAAAAAAAAAGTTCGAGAATAGATCCATTTTTCAAGGAATTCAAGCCCACAGAAATTTTTTGTCAAATATAAGTGTGTATGAGACAGCAAAACATATATGGTTCCCAGAAGGTTATGTAGGCTGTCTACTTAGAAAACAGAATGTGGGGCTGGGAAGGTGGCTCAGTGGTAGAGTGCTTGCCTTGCATGC